CGCGTCACTGCTGCTCCGGTGGGCGGCGCTCCGAGCGGGGTCATCTGGCAGTCTCCGGCCACCTAAATTAGGACCCGGAGACTGCCAGAGGACCCCGCTCGGAGCGCCGCCCACCGGAGCAGCAGTGACGCGACGCTCGGCGAGGTAAGTAAGAAGAAACCTGACCAGCTCGAGACGCTGACTCGAGTATAAGCCGAGGGGGGCACTTTTCAGCAAAAAAAATGGGCTGAAAAACTCGGCTTATACTCGAGTATATACGGTAATACTTTCATTAGCATGTTAATGCGGGGAGAAACATGGAACCAGGAAGACAACATATAAGTAGAATAATCTCAAATTGCACCTTGCGCCAATCTCTGTTTAGCAGCAAGAACTGCAAGAAGAATTCACCACTTCAGTATAAAACAATAATTAATGTGCTGCGCTTCAAATAAGTAGTGAATAAATAAATGTTGTGTAATATAAAGCAATGGGTGTCTCTCAATGAGAAATATAGCAATCTTCAAATATAACACTCACACCATGTAGTTCCTAATGGTGATATAACTAGTGTCCAACAGTATAATACTGTGCTTGAATTTTTAGAACGGTGTGAAATGGCAAATCCACAAGTGCTTTAAATATGACAAGTGCACCACACTCTTAATTCATCCACAGTGTTAATTCTATGAAAAACAAGCGCACAACTTCCAGCTGCCACCCCAGTGTTCACCCCTCTCAGTGGGCCGCTCACCTTGGGATCAGACCTACAAATAGGTCTCAATTTGCTAAGAGGACCCTCAACTATTCAAATCTCATGGAAATCTTTCAAACTTCCCCCAGAAGTATGTATCAGTATGTCATTATGGCCATTTTGATTAAATAAATATAAAACAGCCCATAGCGTAAAACCAATTAAAGTATCATTAAAGCCTGTTTGTTTTTTTATAGCATATATCTACTGCTAGTAAGCAATAGATATATGCCCCAACATTAAAAAAAAAAAAAAGTTGGACAACACCAACAAACCTACCAGTGTTAGCGCTGCTTGCTCCCGGCAGCAGAAGTCCCACTCCTCAACGCTTTGAAAAAAGAAGTGTGGGAGGGCGAATGCGCAGTCCAGATCATCATAGGGGAGAGGAGGACAGCAACGCTGAAGCTGGATGGACACAGCTGGGGAGCTTGCACATCGACCAGACACTGTGGGACCAAAGGAGTCTGCGGTGGATCAGAGACCAGCACCAGCGCTGGAGTGACTGTGTAAAACGAGTGGAAGGAAGATGTTGTTCGGATCAAGAGGCATCACATAAGGGAAGTCAGTACAACAGCATTAGGGGGGGGCGGATGTCACTTTAAGATAAAAAAATGTCCTTTATTAAAATATTACTCACACTTTAAAAGATGTCAATAAGCATCAAAACTTGCCAAGAATCTGCAGGACGGCTTCCTCTCCGTATCCTATATGCGAAAAGGGGTAACGCTGAAGCCGTGCTGCTGACCGTGTAAAACTCCGCCCCGCATTTTTTATATCACCATTGGGAACTATATGGTGTGAGTGTTATATTTGAAGATTCTTATATTTCTCATTGCGAGACACACATTGGTTTATATTAAACAACATTGATTTATTGATCTATTTATTTATTCATTATTTATTTGAAGCGCAGCACATTCATTATTGTTTTATACAAGTGGCTTCAGTTAAGGCCTGTGGGATAGGATTGGACTTCTCTGTATTAATATCACAAGCTGAGATGCTTTAGATTGTAAGCTCTCATGGCCAAGGCCATCCTTACCATCTGGTCTTGATTTTTACTATAACTGCAATGTCTTTATTATATTGTAAAGTGCTGCGCAAACTCTTGGCGCTGTATAACTCATGTATAATAATAATAGTGGGGCAGGTGATGCCAGAGAAAGCACAGTTGGAGCAGATGAGGCAGAGAATTATGAAATCTGTCAAGAAAATGTACATATTAGTAGAAACAAATTATAAACTGGAAAAGGTCAAGGGTCTTTTGCTGTGTACCACACCACATGTTTAAAATAACCATAACTTTTTTTGCAGCTTTGGCTCTAAGGTGCGCTCCAATGTCACAGGAATAATATTCAATGATGAGATGGATGATTTTGGATCACCTTTGATAGTCAATGGGTTTGGAATCCCTCCATCACCAGCTAATTTTATCAGACCAGGTACATTCAATTGTAAAAACACAAACAGATAAAAGTCAAAAGAAAACAGAATGAGTAGTGAAAATTGAACATTTTTTTTCTCCCACAACTTTTGCAGGAAAAAGGCCCCTCTCCTCTATGTGCCCCTCCATCATTTTAGATAAGAATAATAAAGTGCATATGGTTGTTGGAGCCTCCGGAGGAACTAGAATCACAACAGCGACTGCACTGGTAAGTCACCAGCAGCTCATATCTAGTATTTATCATATCGAGTATTTCATTTTTTCATTGAAATGAAACATTATTTATAATGTCCATATTTCAGTTTGGAACAAATACATTATTTTTCTTTACAAGCAAATTTGTGTGACACTCTTAAACCAAACAGCATTGGCATTAGGGAACTGCAGGCAAATAACTACATAAAAATGCTCTTATTTTAAATACTTGTGTATATTCAGTTTAAGAGAATGGTTTGTATTTTCCAAAGGTGTGCCTGGTAATTGACATAAAGGGCTGCTAATTCTGAAACAACCTAAAGGCTGTTTGAGGTCCATTTTTGACCCTGATTCAGGGATTTATGTCACCTTCTCCTACTGCGTAGATAAATATACTTAAATAGAGTACTTGTCTGGTGTGAAGCTGTGAGAAGCCACCTAATTGTAACTAGTAAATCGGCCTCCAAGCTGTGCATAAGAAGACGACAAGTTCAAAGCTCCTGGAATTGAAGTTATCTGCCATAAATTTTAGTTTTATGCATCCAGTGCTCTTTGAGTCATGGACTTTATATATCCAAATCAGCTGGAATTCACAATATATTTGGGTATTATTGAGGTATACCAATTGTTTTGGAATTGGCACTTGAAACATTCATAATGTGCTTTAATACTCATTATAAAATCATGTAAGAATGTGTGACAGTCCTATTACTTTGTGTGCATGGGGGGCAATGAGTCACAATTATTTTTATTTTTCATCATAGGTCATTATGAATTCGCTCTGGTTTGGTCACGATATTGGCCCATCTGTAGAGTTGGCGAGAGTGCATAATCAGTTATTTCCCAATGACACCACACTAGAAGAGACCATGGAGCAGGTAATTCATATCCTCCAAATATAACAGTATATATTCTTTTTTCCATATAATTTATTTACAAATAGTACACAAATAGATTAACCTCTCCCCGATTTTTTTTTGATCTTACAGAGTGTTGAAAAAGAACTAGTGAAACGTCATCATAATGTAGTGTATGGTAGAAGAGCCGGGTCTGTGGTCCAGGCTGTTGTACGGACAGGGAACAAGTGGGCAGCAGCTTCGGACACACGGAAGGGAGGCTATCCGGCAGGTTACTGATCTTTATCTCTCTTATGAACTGATGACTGCAAAAAGCTCACTGAGACCATTATATAGCACTTTGTAAGTGGCTTCTAACTAACTTCCATAGATTATCTACTCCTACTAAGACTCCATCACTCAGGGACTATACTATGTTGACTACTACAGAAATACAATGGACTTATTCAATTGGATCCTCTTCAAATGTTCTTCAAAGTGAATTTTCAATAGATCACCATCAGATAAGGGAAACAATTTAGTGCTGCCCATATGGATTACTGAAATGCTTTGACCAAGAATGTGTAATTGGAAAATGACAACTTCAGAAATACTGTGAAGAAAAACACAGCTGGACTGTACTCATTTACCTATGCATTTCACAGACCCTTAAGCTGGCTTCACACTGATAGATTTTCATTCATATGAAAAATGTCTGTTAAAATTTTCTTCATGCAAGAAAAAATCTCCAACCCGCTCCTTTGATTTTTTTTTTACTACGGTCAAAAACGTTTGTTAATCTGACCCCATTAACTATCAGAGAATCGAAGAATGTTCTAAAAACAATTTTTTTAAATGCAATTCTATTGGTGCATGGCCAGCTTTTGTCTATGACTTTGTTTATAAGAATTACCTTTGACTAACCTACTACAATGTTGTCTTCTGTAACTATAAGGGATCATTTTTGGTGATTCACACCAAGGTGAAAGTGACATTTAAAGGGAGTCTGTCAGTTTACACAATCCTTGCCATTTCCACTGCACTTGGTGCTCTGCTCATTACACTCAAGCATGGAAGCTTTCTAGGCCCCTGTGGTCAGAAAGTGGCCCAGAAGGTAGTGGACATTTGTATGCCCTTCATCATTTTGTGAGCTAAAAGCCTAAAACTGGTTGCTTTCAGCTTTACCTCTCTGAGTGTTGCTGGTATGGGCTCTAATTTCATGGAATTGAGATTAATCGAAATGAATGAAAGCTGCAACTTTGCACGTATAGAAAACCTCTGTGCTTTGCTTGGTTACAGAGCACATAGTGTGTAAAGGGCATGGGGTTATTAGACTGACAGAAAATGCATCATCATGACATGCAGCAGTTGGACAATTCAATCTATAGTTAGAAGGGTTAAACCCTTACTAGTTAATACAGGTGGCTTGATCTGTAAAAATTTCCTGTGATACTGTACAAGTGTATATGTATGTATGTATATATATACGCACTACATAAGTTAATTACCGTATATACTCGAGTATAAGCCGCCCCGAATATAAGCCGAGGTACCTAATTTTACCACAAAAAACTGGGGAAAAATATTGACTCGAATATAAGCCTAGGGTGGGAAATGAGGCAGCTACTGGTAAAATAAGCAGTAGATAAGAAATTGACACATACCATGAGTTCCAGTAAAGTATTGTACCATCAAAGCCCATATTATCTCAGTGAATCTGGAGCCATATAACCCTAGATGCGCTAAGCCCCCCCTATGCCATTCATTTTACACAAATTTTCCCTTGATTTAATGATCAGCTTATAGAAGTTGATTCTTACACAAAAGGAGGTCTGTAGCTACCTTTATCCTCTGTGACAGGACAACTTGGATGAATAACAAATGGCACCATATTTGGTTTGGTAAAAAAGAATGCTATTTTATTGCTTGCAGGCAAGCGTTTTTCATTTTTTTTTTTTATAAAATGTGCTGTCAGTTTATATGCTGGCAGTTGTCATCAAGCTCGGTAGCACAGAAAATGCCTACATAATAGACCAATTCCACACAAAATAAAAATCCAGTTTATAGGTTAGATGTTGGAAATATTAAAAGCTTTTTAGTTGCTGAAGTTTTTTCTTTTGTAAAATCTTCAGTGTAGAAGTATCATGTTGTGCCTCCTCCTTTACTATTCTTCTGCTTTGTAACTGCATGGGATGATCCTGGAGAGGGTGATTGAGGGTGGCATATGACCTTTAACATTGTCCTATATCCTTCATACAGTAATGGAGACTGGTATGATTCTGGCAATGTATTTATCAACTTACTTTTTAAACAAAGTACATTTTTATATTTTGGGTGGATTGGTCTTTAAAGCGAACCCTACATAAATGCAAGGTCCATATTAATGACAGCTCACCCAAAAAACTCATAGAGCCCATTCACACAGCTGCAGTGCATTGAACGCACATAAGTTATTGTGAGCTAATGTGCATTATGGTAACGGTCAAGGCGTTAAGGCAGCCCATTCATTTGATGGATGTAATATCATACCTGCAGCATTTTTGATAATGCAGCACACAGCAATGCACAATGTTTTGTTTACTTGTGGTGTGCTGCAACACAGGTGTGTTGGGGTGCCATTCAAGATGCAGTTACTTAATGCACGGTGTGAAGGGTGCTAACAAAATGGTGGCAAGAATGAAATATTGTAGAAAACATTTTTAAAAATGCTTCCACATCGCAGGAGTGTGGCCTTGCATGATTTTGAGTGCCCACCTTTCCCAGCAGGCAGCAGTAAGGCACAAGGACAAGGAAGTGGATGGAAGAAGGGATCAGAGGTAAGTGTTTTTTCTACAATAACTCATTTTTGCCAGCCTTGTGTAAGAGATTTTTTACTTAGGGGGGTGAGGGGCTGTCATTAAAGAGGGACTTGCAATTTCAAGGTCCGTGTAGCTTTCTCCAGTAAGGCTTTGCAAGCCTACTTGTATCGAGCAAAACTCCAGGCAAAACATTTATTTTGATTTTGGATAGAATGGGAAAAAGTTGGAACCCCTGTTTTTATTGTCAATGAAGTAGATTTCCCCCCATTTCCAGTCTTGCAGACAATACATGAAGTGATGGTAAGTCTTTCTGGTGGAAAAACCCATCATGAATTCTAACCCTTGTTATAGTATGAGAGGCATTTGTATTTCCCATTGTCTGTGTTGACATACCTTTGAGAGGGTTTGGCTGCTCTGTTTCCATCCATTAAACTGATTTATTCTGGTGTTTTATAACCTTGACTCTTGTTCTTTCTACAAATATACATTAAAAACTACAAGGGTGTATGTTTAATTTCAGGTACATGTATTTTATTTTACAGATATGCTAGCTTAAACCAAAGAGAAATATGTAGTCTCTGGATACAAGCCTCCTACAGGTTCCTTTCCTGGTTACCTCTGGATTTATGCAGTTCCTGTTTGAACCTGTTGATTGCTAAAACTACTTGGGCCATTGAATCCCTTGCTACTCAGTGATTTAACCATTCACTGGCAACCACTATACATGCAGCACACTGAAGTCAGTATTAAATCACTCAGTACCTATTTACTGTAGTTTACACAGACCAGTCTATGACAGATTAAAGCGACCTTTACACTCAGAACTCAAATCCCACCAATGCATCCCTCTATTTATGATGATTAATAATAACATAGATATGTCAGGTGTAAAATGCTTCGAAAAAAGGTAGGTCCCCTACACTCCTTACAGCGTTTCCGGCCCAAATAACAATGGTGGTGTTTGCAGTGACAATCACGGATGGCGCCGTGCACTGCAAACCAAAAAAGATAGGAATCACCAGCACTCAATAAATGATGTTCAAATAGTAACGTCCATTTATTTGGACACGTGTCCAAATAAATGGACGTTACTATTTGAAGTTGAACATCATTTATTGAGTGCTGGTGATTCCTATCTTTTTTAGGTGTAAAATGCTGTTATATTGAAATACTTACAACTGCAGAGCATTTGCTACCTGCTTTCCAGGTGAAAAGTAGTTCAGTTTGCCAACGCAACGCATCCTGGGAATGCTTTGTCATTGAAATGAAATCTCGTTCAAGAGAATAAAAAAAGAAAATGGCTGCAGGATCATGCAGCCATTGTGTTTTTGTATTTTGCCTTTTCCTGGATGACGAAAGAAGAGGGCAGGAAAGGAGTGGCTTTATTTCCCAATGCAAACATGGCTACCCCCAGCGTCGCGGCACCGAATTTTAAAGATAAAACAAGGTATTTAAAAATGAAGAAACACCTTTTTTTAATGAGTCTAATGTGTTTATGGTTTACAAATTCAATACTGCAGTGTAAAGGTCCGCTTTAGGTCTTCTGCTGACTTTGTGTATATATACAAATCCAAACGTCTATAAAACTGCTGCTCCAGATGCCCCTATCTTTAGGCTAATGACTTAATATTTGAAATGTTTTAATACATTTGGTAATGTATACTTTACAGTAAGGGAACACGCGGTGCTACAGGTTTATGCAGGTGTAACACACCCATTGATTCACTTTCAGAAAAGGTACACAAATAAAAGAAGCTAATCCATGCATACAAGAAAATACCAAGAGACCGGCCCCTGGCACCTGATTCATAGTCAGAACTAATGTTCCTCATGTATGATGTAATGAGAATAAGGTTCCTTCTCTTATAAAAGTACATACAAGGGATTAACTATGGCCAGCAAGTGCTTTTGCACAGGTCTCTTTCATATCCTATACTCTTTACATTTTATAGCACATTCCTTATATGCAAGCAGTTTTGAAAAAGGAAAACTATCATATTAGGTCTGTGCATCTATGCCCACCTATGTCCCCACCTGTTAGATAAGAAGAAATAATATTGTTGTAGAAATCAGATTCTTCCTATATCCCTCCCATATCAAAAGAGTTGATTGGCTGCTGTGGAAAACAAGATCAACTTTCACTTCTGACACTTTCATACACAAATCATATTGACTCAGAGAGGTTAAGAAGCAGAGAATGTTCACTTAGCAAAGTGAATGTTTATACACGTAATTGTATTTACTAAACAAAGTATCACTAAGTAAACAATCACTCTAGTAAGTGAATATTATCTACTCCTTTAATAAATCAACCCCAGTGTATAAGCAAGGAGACTTAAAGTGTATGTATAGCCAACATGTTTCTTGCTTTGGATAGAGTAGTGAAGGGTTAAAACCCCTGCCATGTTGTTTTTTTCTCACCGTATGCCATTGATGAAATTTACCTTAACTTCCTGTCACCGAGGTGCAACAAGTAGTTATAGGAAATCTCCCAAAGTGACAAAAATCACCCCCCCCCCCCCCCCCTTCAACTGTTTGGCCCAAAA